ATAGTCTTTAAGATACTATATAGGCAGAGTTAGGCACATCAGCGTTGGCTAGATGCAGAATGAGAGCCTGCAGAACTTATGTCTTTTGGACTAAAACTCTTGTAATCCCCCAGGGAGCAGGGAATTCTTGGAACTGTCCTCCAAAAAAGTAACTTTTCCAAGCTGCAGGCAAATCAGTTCACCACCCCAGAAAAAACTGTTGTAACTCCAGGCAGAGTAGTTAAGATTTTGGGAATGAATATGATGGCCAATTCAAGAACACTTATGTACTGAGCCCTTGGCCACATAATAGGTAAAGGCTTCTTCCTTTGCCTTGCTGGGCTGGACTTCGTTTTTAACTAAAATGTTTGAAATAGTATTAAAATCGTATGTTTGTTGTCCTTTTTCCCAGGTGGTGCACTTCAGATGTCAGGTACGCTGCAAGCTGGTCCAGAGAAACTGCCTTTGGTAACATTTTAATAAGCCCCAAGATGATTACGGATCACATGCCAGAAGTCGTTCTCAAAGCTCTCAACAGCTTGGTTGAAGCAAATGCCTCTTGCCTTTCCTGTCGAGCGCAAGGAGACTCATCTGTGAACATTGTATAATTGTAGACTTAGGAAAACAGCAGCAGTCTCAGTTTTCAGGTGATAACAAAAGCGGCAGCCCTTTTGTACTGAAATCATGGCTGAAGTAGAAGTTTGGGCTGATTTCCAGGATGAACACAACCTTCATGCTGTGGCAATTGTTCTGGGCTACTCGATTTACCAGGTCATTTTTAAGATGACCTGCTTCACTTTAAACTGGAGCAAGTGAATTAGTCATGAATTTTAAACATAATCAAAGGCTCTGCGGTGACGGTTTGTATGGAGAACTTGATCAATGGGGAGAAGGAAGAGATTGGTTCCAGCGAGTGCTTAACTCTGGCACTGTTAGGATGCGTGCCCTTGTGGAAGTTGTGCCACGTTTACTTGGACTTCCCAGAGCAAAGCTGGTTTATGAAGCACGTGTACACTCAGAAATAAAAAGAACAAACAGGAAAAGAAAGTTAAGTTCCAGACAACTATACTGACTCTTTGGATATACACAAACATGACCCCAGCAAGGTGAGCTGGGCTCTGTAGCCTTTCATTGCACTACCATTGATGTCAGAAATGTCTGGTTTTCTTTCTCGCTGAAGGAACTTTGCATTGTAGATACCTTTTGTAGGCTTAAATAATACTTGGATACATGTGCAATACTTGTCTACCTTTGTTTACAGACCTTCAACCCTGCTGAATATGATTTTAGAAGGGTTAAAACCCCTTATTTTAAGCAATGATGTTTTGCAGTTTGCCCGTTGTTAATTAGGACAAACCCAAAGGATCAGCTAGACGTCCTGTTTTAAAAGAATTTTACATCCGTAATCTTGTATAGTTAAAAGGTGTGCGTGCCGGAAATCTCATAATGAAGTTTGTTTACTGAACATAAGTTCAGGCTAAGCCATTTTGTGGTGGTGTTGGTATTCTGTGTGATAAAGTGTTGTTCATAAAACTTGTTTCTATTTTTAAAATCAAGATAATGGTCATTAGGTGATTAAGCCTGGCAGGACGTAAGTCTCTACTAGTATGTTTATGCCTTCAGCCAGTGTGGAAGCTACTCCCTTTTTGTGCTGGGGCCTTGCAGGGACAGCCCCATCTCCCTGAGTATCTTTTGGGGTAGAGGGTACACTCAAGTGCATTCCGATCCTTTTCAGCTTTTGGGAAAGGGTACTCAAGAACCCTTGGGTTTGTGCTCAGGATGACTAGGGAAGTGGAGATGTACCAGCTAGTTGTACATCCAGAGTAGGGGTGTTGTAAACGGAGGAACGGAATACCCTTTTCCATACCGTTATAAATAAGGTATGCTACAAGCAGGTTTTTGGCTAATATTGGTAATGCATTGTTTCTGTTCCACTTCTAAAGAGGTACCATGTACGTTCTTTCTAGCCTATGTTATGCAATCTCTGTGTCGTGCTAAAAATGAATCACTTCTCCTGGCCACGGTCTTAACTCTTACACCATCCGCTTTCTAGTCACAGAAGAAAGGGTTTACAAAGGGTCTGGAATGCCATCAGCTGACTTCCTGAAAGAGGGCAGGGACCAGGGCCAGGCTATTGTAAACTAATTTAAGTCTCCAGGGCCAGATGAACTTCATCCAAAGGTATGAAAAGAACTGACAGAAGTAATCTCAGAATCACTGGCACTAATCTTTGAGAATTCCTGGAGAACCGGAGAAGTCCCAGCAGACTGGGGGGCAAATGTGCCCATCTTCAAAAATGGGGGGGGGGGGAGAGAGACCCAAATAATTTCTGCCTAGTCAGCCTGACATCAATATCTGGAAAGATACTACAGCAGATTATTAAACAGACACCTCTGTAAGCACTTAGAAAGGAATGTCTTTATCACTAAAAGTCAACATGGGTTTCTCAAAAATAAGTCATGCCAGACTAATCTGATCTTTTTTCTTTGTCTTTCTTTCTTTTTAATAGAGCTACAAGCTTGGTAGATGAATGGAATGCTGTGGATGTAGCATGTATTGATTTCATTAAGGCCTTTGACAAGATCCCCCATGATATTCTTGCAAAAAAGTTAGTAAACTATGGGCTAGACAATGCAACTGTTAGGTGGATCTGTAGTTGGTTGACGGACCAAACCCAAAGGGTGCTCAACAATGGCTCCTCTTCATCCTGGGCAGAAGTGACCAGTGGGGTGCCCCAGGGTTTTGTCCTGGGCCCAGTGCTATTCAACATCTTTATCAATGATGTGGATGATGGAATAGAGAGCCTGCTTAGTAATAGTAATAGTGCCACTCTGTTCTGCTTTGGTCAGGCCTTACCTGGAATATTGTGTCCCGTTCTGGGCACCACAATTCAAGAGGGATATTGACAAGCTGGAGCATGTTTAGGGGAAGGCAACCAAAATGGTGAAAGGTCTGGAAACCATGCTCTATGAGCAGCAACGTGGGGAGCTGGGTATGTTTAGCCTGGAGAAGTAAAGGTTAAGAGGTGATATGATAGCCCTGTTTAAATATTTGAAGGGATGCCTTATTGAGGAGAGAGCAAATTTGTTTTCTGCTGCTCCAGAGAATAGGACCCAGAGCAATGGATTCAAACTACAAGAAAAAAGATTCCACCTAAACATTAGGAAGACCTTTCTGACAATCAGAACTGTTTGATAGTGGAATACACTGCCTTGTAGTGTGGTGGAATTTCCTTCTTTGGAAGTTTTTAAACAGAGGCTGGGTTGCCATCTGTTAGAAGTGTTTTGATAATGTGCTCCTAGGTAGGTCTTGTAGTCTCTTCTAACTTTATGATTCAATGAATCAGTAAAGACAGATTGGCTACACAATAAAGTTTAGGGGTGGAACCTATTCCTTTAGAAACAAACCCAGAATTATGCAACCCTATTTTATAGCCTAAGGGTCCATTCCAATTCTGCATATCCATAAAACTAGGAGCCTAGGTTGTTGTATTTTCCCAGCTTCCCAATTTAGTGCAAGTAACGCCAAACTCCTGCTTGAAGAATCTGAATCTAGAACGCTTGGAAGCTCTCGCCCCACTAGCATCACTTCATCACAATCATTTATAAATACATAGGATATAGAATTTTACAAATTCAAGTTCCACCACTGGTGTGATTCAAGAATTTATTAAGTCATACATGCAAAACATACTGCTAAATTGCATTACCAAAAAGATCAATGTAAAAACTTCACAATCTTGCAAACTCCCCCTTTTTTTTAATTTTTGTTTGTTCTAGTAGTTGAAAAGTTGTGTTCAGTGTGTTCTTGCCAGCATCTGGGATGTATGGAACATAGTTAGCACTACATTACAGACCCAATTACCACTACTAGATCAACCAACAGGAGGTACATGTTCATGGAAGGGCACTGTCAGTATTAGTAAAGTTACTGCATCAAAATACCTGGCAAATGGTGACATTAGAGAAAGTTCATTAAGGTGGTATGAAATATAAAAAAAAAAATACTACAACTGGTATATTTGCTGCACATGATTTTTACACCAAGTCACCAGAAGACTTAAAGAAAAGCTCCTCAAAAGCAGGGGGATTAAAAGGAGAAAG